AAAGAAAAAAGTTTCCATAGAAAACTGATTTCAGCAAACATGCTAGTCTTACTTCAAATCAAAATTGTCCTTGACACGTTGAACTGAATCAAAAGGCCATTATCACAGGGTCATGATACTACTGCTAAATATGGATTCATTTTCTGGCCTTAGACTTTTAAGTATGGAAAGCTATTTTTAGGGGAGCGTTTGGGTAGAATATAAATTAAGGTTATAATGTTGTTTTAATCATGCAGGTAATTTTAAACATCCCAGTGAAGGTTCTTTGTATTCTCTTAACCTCTCTTATTTTAAATCAATATATAAATCCGTGATGGCAGGATGAACTTGCAGCTGAACTCCATATCTGAATGTCCTCAAACATCAGGACTATCCCAGATCTCAGGCCTATTTTGCATGTTTCCAAATAAATTTTATTTTTAGAGTGGTGTTTATGGCAGAGGAATCAGAATGCCTACCAATATAAAGTTTGAATTGCTTACAGCTTACATAGAATGGCATGATATAACTAGGCTTATATCAGTATTGTCCTTTGTACTCTTTATATGCAGCCCACTATGTAACTACCTTTATTTTTTCACTGAGTTGCTGGTGGGGAGGACAGTAGTTACAAATTTGGAGTGAGGCGTGAGCTCCGGGCTCCGCAGTCCAGCACTGCTTTTGGTAAGAGGGATCCAGACAGGCCTGGACCTCTCCTGCCATTGAAATCTAGCTCCAGACCCCACTCCTGTATCTTGAGGCCCTGTATAATGGCATTGCTAGAATTTCCTGACTCTGTTGTTGCCATACTAGTATTTGCAAGAAACCTTCAGGAGTAAAATGAATTATTTTAGGTTTATAGCTAAGACTGCAGCCTTTCTGGAACACAGAATTAAGAAAAATGTATCCCACTATCTCTCCACGGATGGGATAAAATAAATTAATTTTGCTACCTTGTACTCTTGAGCATCGGAAAGCTAAAGTCTACTTAGGTGTTTTTGAATGTGCTTGCCTACTTTTGAAAAAAAAATGACTATATTTTGAATCATACCTGTTCCATCTCTGATTTTCTTCCCTTTTTTTTTTTTTTTTTCCCCCTGTGTGTAGTCATATGACAACTTACTTTAAAAAGGCTTTTTAAGGAATATTTTTGGGAAGAGGGACTCTAAAGTGATTAATTTTTCTCTCCAGTAACTTTTAGAGGATTTTAAGGAGTCCAGCCTTGCAGGATTTGAGTTAACCCTTGTAAGTATGTTACCCCAGCTAGGTACCTAAACTTGACTCCATTTGACTTGGCCAGAGTAGTTGTCTCGTTAATTTTAGTCTTGCTAATGACAATACTGCAACTGTGTTGTAGCTGAATTCCTCATTATGGCTTAAAAGGCTGGTGGTGTTTGATTTACATGGTGAATACTAATAATATTTATTGTTTTAATACTTATGGCTGTTTGTATCCTTATTCCACATTTAGCCTGTCTGTTAACCTCAGTACTTGGAGGATTAGATGGTAACTTAGTAGTGCTAACAAAATCTTCTTTATAATCTGCTGATCAGTGTTCAGAAGAAAGGCAGATTGTGTAAGCATTTGTGGCTCTTGAGAAATCTAAACAAAGTGAAATTAAAAACCTTATGCTAATAATTGCATTCCTTTGTTTAAGCTGTTCCTTGAATTCAGTAAAGTAGAACTACTGCTGTCTTTGTTAATACCATTAAGCGCTGACACGCACGCACCGGAGGGGCCACTGGAGATGAGATCTGGAGTCCTTCAAGCCTGGGTAGCTCATGCAAACACAAGAGTTGGCATCTGCAGTACCTTGGGATGCAGAAGGATCTCTGATACCCATGAAGCTCATGATCCTCTATTGGTGGAAATTAACTTAACTCCATTAAAAACAGTGGAGATTCGGTGATTCGTTTCACCAGAGAATCAGTCCTTAGGTATGTGCATTTTTAAATGAAAATCCATGAGGAAAGATCTTTGTGCATGTGGTTTCTGAGTCATTCAAGTAATGTTCCTTGCCAGTGTTTGTGCAAGAGCTAAGCCTGTACTATTGGCAAAAAAGCAGCATTTATCTGCAGGCTGCGTGGTGTTAATGAAAAGTGCTGGCTTTTGCTTAGTGGGGTATTAATAACCATGTAAATATGAGCTTGTAAAATGTCTCATGTTAGAAATGCATTGAAACAGGAGCTGGGTATTACTTGTCATATCTTCTGAAGGGAGCCATATAGACATAAGTAAGTATATTTTATAGAACTAAACAGCAGCTGAGTGCAAAGATACTGAGATAAAAAGGGGTAAGCTTATCCCCTTGACTTATTCGAATCAGAGCCTAGAATAATTCACACCATTTTCCTATCCCTTTTGTGAATTCAGCCCCCTGAGCACGAACAAACTCTTCCAGGACAGACCTGCTTGTTCACTTGCTTTGTAAGTGCAGTGGCCATGAGAAGGCAGCAGTTGGCAGGGAGGAGAGGAGCATTTCCAGGGCAGAAGTGTTACTGGGGAGCTCCATTACTAGGGAGCAGGACAGAGCGTGGAGGTGCTCAGGACTCCTTAGTGTGACTGTGCCATTGTTTGTAATGCACAGGAATACAGAAAATAGCACATCTCCTATTTTTCTAGTATAGAAAAAGGGTAATCATACACTGGGAAGCTTGCACTGTTTTTGCTATCTAGATATCCAAGCTCGGAATCTGCAGAGAAACATAAACTCAGCTCAGGGGAGTGATTGGATGTTCGGGTGCTTGGGGCCTGTGGACGATACCCTTAAGAAGCTGGACAGTATATTCTGCGAGGCCTTTACTGTTTAAGGCTATTTCCAGACTGAACACTGTATTTGGGTCTCCCACTAACTTTAATAGACTTTTTACATGATTTTGAAATATTTATTTTTTTAAAAAAATAAGGATTTATCCAAAGAGTAACATAAATATGGGGAGTTTTATTATTCTTTAAGGAAGAAAGACCTGTCCACATTCTGCAATCTGAAGCTGGCTTTCACAGTGCGTTTAGTTCTTGGGGGAAATACAGCATGACAAGTAACTTCAGCTGCAGTTGTGTTTGCTTACTACACACTGCCTTCTGACAGTTATTTGCAAATAATTTTTTTTATATTCACTGTTCAGTATTTTTATGCTGCTTGTTGAGCAACGTTGTTTCATGTTAGCTGCTTCAAAGCCTTAGCTTTTCTTAGAGCTAGTTATATGATTAGTTGCTGTCTCTGAAGTTACAACTTACTAGAGAACTTCAAGAAAATCCCAATATTTTACATTGATTCTGTCTTCTTAGAAGAATAGGCCCCAGGTGTAAAGCTCTTAAAAGATGTGCTCTTGTGCAACTGCATTCTCGTCATCTGAAAACGCATTGGTGTGTGCTGAGCCAAGTGGTACCCACGGTGCTTGTACTGGGCCCGTTTGACCACCAGTTTAGAAAGGATCAGTTTTGCTGTAAACGCTGGCAATGTATTGACTTTGGTTCCTACACCACTATTGGTATAAGAAATGGTCACATTACTGTAATGGAAAGTTAATATCCACCCTCAGAGCTCTCTTGAAGGCTGCAAGGTGCAGTTCAGATGCTCTTGCCGAGGCGTGTGTTCGATCAGCTGCTCCCTGTGAACACTGTGAAGCAATTTCAGTAACTGCAAGTAGTAAGAAAATTTCTGTCAGCCTGACTGTGGAATCCCATTTGTTTAAAAAAAAATCCCTTAAATTGAAAGAGGATATACTAAATATTTCAAGGCATTTGTTTTTACATTCTCTGCTTGTATGTGCACTTATAATGTAAAAGCTCTTTCCTGTTCATCTCTGGTGTTATCTCTAGTTTTAATATTAAGCATTTTGCTATCTTGGCAGTGTGTTTTTTTTGCTTTTGTACAGAAAGGAAATAAGTAATGGGAATATCATAGGTTGTATATAAGAATATACAACTAGGAAGATGCAATGTTACTACTTTTGCTTTCCCTATTATTAATTTTATTATGATTTAGAAAGCTAGACAGTCATGTTCATAATATAAACTTGCTAGTGTGATGCAGTTCAAATACTGTGGTAGGTATATGTAGATATTTTCTCTACATACATGAGAATTCAGTCCTTTTACTTTGAAATATTATGTATACTTTATGTAAAGATGTTTTCAATGTTTGTGGTTTCTCTCCATTGGACCACAGCAGTTCAAGTTAGTGAGAAATGAGTAATTGCTTTAGACATTTAAACTTTCATACAGCTTATGTACTAACCTGAACAAAATATTATTCAAAAGGGCTAGTAGATATAGAACTCCAGTGGTAATACTTTATAGAAAAAAGGGTACTAGAATGAAAGTTACTTAGGCTTTTCAAATAGTGATAAGGATGTAAACACTCTGCCAGAAATAGATTGAAGAAAGAAATTAGATGATTTTGAAAGTATGCAACTGATTCCCTAAAGATCTCAACAGCTGGGGAGCAGAAGATACGGAGGATGAACATGCTGTTAAATGAAGAAAATAGTCCTTTTTCACTGATGTTATTTGTTTTTGCTGCATATCTTGAATATTTCTTTTTTAAAATTCATCAGTTCTGTTATATAGGAGTAAATTAATGCTGCAGGTTAAAATACTGTCAATCTGCACTGTAAGTAGTACAATTTATAAATTGCTCTTACAGAACTCCTTTTTTTTTTTTCATGAGCGTGATGATAATGGATTGACAGCATTAAAAATCATTAAAATAATGTTGTTTCGTAAGTAACCAAAGACCATAAAAAGTATTACAGCAGTTCAGAAGATGAGACATTTATTTGCTTTTCTGCATACTACTACTAAGGTCTAAATTTTGCTCCTATGGTTTATGCCTAACACTGCAACAGGCATCATGTGAATGTGGGGATACTGGTTCCTGAAACTCCCTGAAGTTCCAAGGAGTCCATAAGCACATATATGTAAAAAATGCTCTGATAAACTGAGGTCACAAAGAACATGATTTCTAAGAGTTCATAAGTAACCACTGTTTTGTTTTCTGTCACTTTCATTACAGACTGACAAGAAAGAAAGAAGTAACGCCCTAAATGTTGCAATAGACAGTATGTGCAAGAAGACAAGAGACCTTCGCAGACAGGTAAAGAACTTAAGAAACCAAAAAGATATTAAAAGAGATTTAAAAGAGGTTTGTCTAAATTACTGTTTTTAGCTTTCACAGTACCATTATTTAAAAATGAATTCCTCTATATTAATTCCTCTATATTAAGGAAATACTGAGGAATAACACTGTTCCACAGAATAAACATATCCCAATTTTCAAAACTATGGGGAAAAACTCTTCTCAAGTGGGATACTGGCTGAATGTTTTTATATACGTAAGCAAAACTCTTCATGTAGACATATGTAAGACAGCGTATGCATAAATATTTATGTATTTTATATACACATTTATTTCTATATTAAATACATGTTTATGTATACAGACATATATTTAATTTATATGTATATGAATTTAGAAATATAAGTTTATTTCTAAATAACCTAAAAATATAAACATTTAGAAATATACCTGTGACATACTTTTAAAAACTAGATTAATTTAAGAAGCCTGAGAGGAGTTCTGATCAATATGTACAAGTACCTGAGGGAAGAATATGAAGAGGATGGGGCCAAACGCTTCTCCATGGTGGTCAGTGACAGGACAAGGGGTAATGGGTGCAAGTGGGAACACAGCAAGTTCCATCTCCATGTGAGGAAGGACTTCTTTCCTGTGAGGGTGACAGAGCCCTGGCACAGGCTGCCCAGAGAGGTTGTGGAGTCTCCTTCTCTGGAGATCTTCAAAACCCACCTGGATGCCACCCTGTGCACCGTGCTCTAGGTGACCCTGCTGGAGCAGGGGGTTGGACTAGATGATCTCTAGAGGTCCCTTCCAACCTCAACCATTTTGGGATTCTGTGCATTTAGATTTAAATAGTTTGAATCGTCTTTCACTTCAGTATTCAATATGTGTCTGATTCTGTACCATCGTGGGAACTCATACAACACAGAAAGGTCCTTAGAATATCTACTCCACTTTCCCCAGCTGTTATGCATCCCAGTATACTAAAACTTATAGACGTGGACTAAAGCCCCCAGAAGCAGCATGCTACAGAAGGTGAGCAGTAGACATTAGCTGTGGTTAGGTCCTTGCAGTGGCAACGAGCATGTCTGAGAAAAGTTGCAAATGATGTTGAAGTATGTAACAGGTTAGGAAGGAGAACTAGCACTTCCAGCCAGGCTGCCCCAACCAACCCTCTGACAATTACGGCCACAGAGGACCTGGCTACACTTTGCCTTCAGCCCATCTCTAATTGTGGCTAGTGGTCAGTTCTCTGCTGGGAGAATATCCCCGCCAGCCTCCTGCGTTGTCCTACAGGGTAGTTTATGCATCAAGGTGATGGAGAATTTTCTTCCCTCCTCCCATAATCAGCCAAGAGAAGCCTTGAAGGATAAAAAAAATGTTTACAACTAGCTACTGAGTTTGCCCTCATGTTCTGTCAGAAATGTTTGATCAGATGCCTGGCGACTTGCATCACAAACTTAGTCTGTCTAGGAACTCTCCCATTCTCCCATACGGTCCATGAATTTATTAAAGACTATCTTCAAGTTTCTTGACTCACTAAGTTTGAAAATCCCTTCAACAACTTAATTCCTAGGTTTTACATAAATCTTTTAAAAAAATTTCAGGCTGAGTGGTTTTATGCCCAATTCATAGTCAATCTAGGATCACTAGTTTTCTTTAAACAGAGTAGTTCTTTTTGATTTCTCCATATTTTCTTCAGGAAACTATTTTTGAGAAGCATTTTATCTACTCCCTCCAATTCTATGTTCATACACGTGAACTGCCCAGGAATTGTTTTAAGAAGACTTCTTTCTGTGTATCTTAATCCTAGGAAACATGAAATTTTGAGTTTGGTATCAATACCTGCAGGTATTGATATCAAATCCTGGCTATTCAACAGCTGCATCTCTGTGGTTTTACTAACAACAACAAAAAGTTATTTGCTTTATTCTTGTTGTTTTGTTTTGTTGTAAAGGGCTGGGGGGAAGGAATCCTGGGATGCCATGTGTTGTGCCATAACTGGTGTTATGCCAGGTGTCTATAGCAGACGCAGGGCCGTAGCGCGTGCGATGTGCTCCGCCAAAGCGGATTGAAGGTGAAACGTTACAGGGTTACACTGCGAAACCTCACCGGGGGGGCACGCAGCATCCAAAACCAGCGCAGAGGCACCAGACCCCTCACCCGGTGAGCAAAGGCGCCTGCCTGTGCCTGGCAACACTTGAAGGCAAAACTGGGCATCTCCTCTAAGGAGAGTATTTTCTGGAGGTTTCAAAAATCACCTTTTTTTTTTTTTTTCCCCAGACAAAAAGATATGTATTCACTTGAGGAAACTGGGCCGCATTTCTAGGGGTTTTCAACTGTTTTGTTTTGATTTGCTTTATTGTTTCTGTTGTGCCAGAGGTGTGCACATCATTTCTGTGTACAGCTTTATGTAGATACTACCTTGCTTAGTAAAGTTGAATGAATGTTAAGGAATCAGTTACCTTTCCTTTCCAATTACTAAATCTCTGATAAATTATCAAAGTCAATTCTTCCCTCCTACTCGTTTTTCAGTGTACTCTGAATAATCTGCACAGATGTTTCTTCTGTAGTTGTTACACTTATTATTCTCAAAGATACTCTAATATTTGTATGCGGTTTCTTCGTCATGAATAACATGAACACAAAGATAATTGCATTTCTCTGGACCCTTTGAAATGGAAAAGAGATTCCTTACCAACAATAATACTTTTTTTTCTATTTTTTTTTATTTGTGGGATTCTTTAATATCAAAACAAAAACTTAAGATTTCTACTTCAGTAGCAGTCTGTTCTAGAGGCAGGAATATAACCTTGCACTTTAAAAATTAAACATGCCAGAAATCATCCTTCCTCTGCTTGTCTTTCACTTATAAATACCATATTTTAATTTCCCTGGTGTTGGCTGCAAGTATTTTTAGTGCTGTTCCTTACTGACTGTTTATGTGTCTACTCTATCACCACTTAGTTTCTAGCATTCTGCTTTGGAGGTGGCCAGAAAGAGAGGAATGGAAAAAATGACCACTATGAGCGATGAGTAGAAATTGGTACCACTTCACATAATTCATCTTTTATCTTTTTCCTCTCCTTGTTTTACACTGCACTGCTCCATTCTTTCAGGCTACATGAGCCATCTTTTCAAAATCTCAGCTTCATGTATTCCTTAGGAAAGCTGAAATATGAAGATATTTCAAACTTGTTTGTAGTCACTAAAGGCACAGCACTTTTTTCTGAAGAAGCAGCAGTAAAATGTTTCGCTGTTGAACTGCAGGAGAGAAGATTTCTTACAATGAAATAATAACGATAATTTATATGTGAAAAGTTAATTAAAGCAAGCAAACCAGCCTGATAGGAGATAAAATTAGGCTGCAGGTTTGAAAATTGGATGCCTCATTCTCACCACAAATGTGAGGTAGGTCATTGCAGTTTCTAAAAGAAGACTGCACAAGTTCAACAGTCCGGGTTTTGCAGAACCCAGAAGCATTTCTCTGGGAGATAATGAAACATCAGCCATGGATAAAAAGGTTCCAGTTTTTTTGTTGATGATTACTGTAATTACATTGGGCAAGTTCACTACATTGCTCTCTGTACAATGAGCAGTAAGGTAAATGGAAAATTTTATGTTAATTTTTGGCAGGCAAGTATGACTATTTTCTTCCATTGAACTTCTCCTACTTAGAAATTTTAATAGCAAACCTAGGAAGATTGAAGACTCCAAGTATTTTATTCCTGGTAGTGAAACCTTTTAGTATCTCCTCCTTTCTCATTTTTGAAGTTGCAGAATGGATAAAGCTAGGACTGTGGACGTGTAAGGGTCCCCTTCTGAATGAGATCTAAAACGTCTGCCTTTGCCAGTCACTCAGGAGAGCACGTGTCTAGTATATCCTAATGCAGGAGATGCAGTCGGAAGACAAAACCATTCCAGACTTACCAGAACATCCTGGGAAGCTTGTTTGTCCCCACCGCTGGGGGAGTCAACAGGAGTTGGCTTTAGATGGTGAAGCTAGTGGTAGAGTTTGTATCCAAACTTTGAGCATCACACATTTCTCTACTGGGTTTCTGCTGTGTGTGTTTACTGCCCTTTCTATAAGGTCCGCAGCACCAAGAAGATTTTGTTGCCTTGCATTTTTCTAGCTGCAGGAGTGCTGAAACTCTAGGGACTTTTCATGAAGATATTTTGGAGCAAAACACTGAGTGAAAAACCTTCCTTTGGTAACAAACCTCTCAGGCATGGAAGAGTTCAGCATTTTTTTGTGATCTTTTCTGCTGTAGTTAATAACTTAAATATTATAAGAAACAAATAGGGTTTTTTTTTTTAGAGAGAATTTGATGAACTTGACAATGTTTGTTACCTGGCATGAACGTGGTTACCTGAAGTTGTGGTGCCTTTTCTGTAGTGTTCTAGGATTAGAACAAAGTATTTTCATGTGTTGGTTTAGGCATGGGAGATATCCTCTAAGTGGAGTAATTTCCAATGATCAGTTATAAGCGTACATTAAATCTAATTTAAGAGAGCTAATTGTAACAGAATGTTACACTTTAATAATTTAGGCAAGAAATTCAAGAACAATTAATGCAAATAGAGAAAATTGAACATCAGACTCATTTATTATTCTCCTTGCTCTATTAGTCTATTATCAGATGGCCTAATGCGTAATCTCATTGGTGTAATTACCATGAAGGCTACCATTTAGCTAATCAAAATGTATCATTCTTTTTTCCAACATGATAGAAAACACTTGGGTAATTTTGCAATTATGAAAACATGTGGAGTATTTTGTTTATGAATATAAACATAATTTAATAGCCTTCTCCCTTGGCATCTGGACTTCAAGAGAAAATGCCTGAGAGACAAAACTAGATTTGGCCTAATAGTGATTTTTTATATGGGAAAAGAATTTAAGTAGCCCAGTCTATTCATCAAAGCACATGAACATTTGTCTGGCTCCTTTGGCTGTCTAATACCTGTTTTAAGTGTCTTATATGTAAGACACTTATACTCACAGAAACATACAAACATGCATATTTAGATAATGGTATATTAAAACTGTCACAAAAATTAAATTCTCTTTTTTTTTGTAAAGCAGATAAATTGTAACTTCTGTAAGTTTCAGTTACATCCTGCAAATGATGTGAGAATACAGTGGGTGTACGATTATATGTTATAATAATACAAATAGATTATAATGGTATCATGAAAGATAAGAATGTTTTTCAATAAGTAGCCCAATTAGCTGATACTAACATATTGCTTTCTTTGGCAGCTTCGTAAAGCCATCATAGATCACATCTCGGACTCCTTCTTAGATACCACTGTTCCACTTCTGGTTCTTATTGAAGCTGCTAAGAAAGGAAGAGAAAAAGAAATGAAGGAATATGCTGCTATATTTCGAGAGCACACCAGCAGGCTTGTGGAGGTATGTTTTATGGAGTTGCACTTTTATTGAATGTGTGGTATAAGAAACATCCCACTGCATGTTTCCTTTGGTTTCTGACAAGGTAAAAGACTCAAGTCTGCCACTTCTGCAAATACTATATTAATGGCCTTATTTAATAGTAAGCATACTCCATTTTTTACCTTCTGCTTAATGGTAAGACAAAGGAGTTTGCAGTAAGGGCATTTATAAAGCATTTCACTGCATAGGAATTAGGTGGGTGGGAGGCCAAATTCTGCCCTGAGGGATGAGCATAGGCCTCTCCACAGCGAAGGTCTGGGAGTCTGCAGGGAGCACATGCCTCGACGGAGCAATAGCTCCAAGTTACAGAACACTACTACTGCTGCTGTTTGATACACCGGGTCAGGGTTAGTTGTTTGTCAGCTTCTGTAGCTTTGAAAGCCTGTAGCCTGCAGAGTAATATGCTGTAGAGGAAATGGTGCTGTGACAGAGCTGAAAGCTATGAATCCTCTATGGGAATTCTGAATCCCAGAGTTCTGGAAACACAGGTCCTTGAGAGGCCAAAAGCATGCTGCCATGTGTGCCAGATAAATGTATTTGCGTACATTGTAGAATAATTATTTCTCAAGGATATTCTTTCTTATTACACAGCAATGCAAAAATGGAATTTCTTGGGGATGTTTAGAGTTTGATGGACTGACAGGCCTGCAAATATGAATAAATATTCACTGCTCTACACAGGGTCATTCACACTGGAGCTTGAAACTCCACTGGAATGCCAAAATTGTTCACAGGAATGTTAGCTCATGCATCTCATGTAAGGAATGTGTTGTTAATTTTTGTTTCTTTTTAAAGCCTTTAGTGCTTTTGTGTGCAATGGCAGTAGTACAAAATGGGAAAAATCAATGATTTCGCTCTGTGGCTGAAAACTGTTTGTCTCAGAATTTTATTGTTAATCTTGAGTGATCTACAGATAATGAAAAATAAATAGAAAACCAGATGGCTAAAGTAGAAGTACGGTATTGCATTTATGTTTCTCTTCATGCTCCTGCAGTTACAGTATGATATTAGTTATTCTCTAATTTACAAGACTGTCTCATTTGGACTGTGCTGCAAAATCACATGGAAACTACAACACAAACTCAAGATTTTAGAAGAGATTTCAGATTTTTATTACTGAGACTAAAACAGATTGAAGCGGCTAGATTTTCAGAAAGAACAGTTGATCTCTAAAGATCAGACAATTTTACTGTGTTTGGATTTGAGCCCAGATCAGCTGAAATACCCAAATCATTAGTCAGTTTGCAAAACATACACCTAAGAATCCAACATTGATTTTCCTTTATAGTCTTGAATTTATTTCTGAAATGCACAGAGTAGGTGGACATCAGTATGGGTCTGTGCTTAAGGGAGTGATAGCTGCAGAGTTACAGTGCCTGAAAAGATCTACAGGGATGTGAAGCAGCTGTCTGTGAACATAAGAGTGCCCAGAAGGTAGCTGTCTGTAGTGATGTGGGAAAAATTATAGGGAAGTTTTGCAATTCTACCATATTTATTCCCTCTTTAAAAAAATACAAATTTTTAGTAACATAGTTTAAGTAACTTGCTTTTCAGAGACACACACACAGAGGGCCATCTCCTACTGTAGAATTATTTGTTCCAAATCATCACTTTAGTGCTGCTTATATATTATGCTGCCACTGAAAATGAACATAAAATAAAATTGAAAGTACTTTCTGACTCACTAGAACTGAAATTCTGAAATTGAAAATTTAGGTAGCTTACACTGGTTAACGAATTTACTTAATCAAGAACTGGACTGATAATATACAGAAGCTATCATGTACTAGCCTATTATAAGTAAAACAAAACAAAAATGAAAAAAACGCTAACAGCTAAGTAAGGGACCTCAAAAGGACTTTTCCATACAAACAGATAGATCTGATTTTTAAGAAAAAGAGCAGTCATTTCCAAAAGCACTAGCTAAGAAAAAGGCAAAAGAATTACAGCAACTGTTTTGTGGAAAAGAATAACAAAAATTCAATTGATAAAAATGGAATAGCATTTAAATACATTAAAGGTATAAGTTGGAAGCATGTTTTTGTTTTGAGGGCCTTTAAATCTTAAAGCAGAATATGCATGTATTTTTTTTTTAATTGGCAGTAATAGGGCACTGTGTTGTTGCTTTAATTTGTCAAAGAATAGAACAGATGAGTAGATTTAGGTCTCTGCAGTCCTGGCTTTCACCAATGTAACCCATACTTGAGAATTCCGTAGTGGCACACATATATGCATCTTGTTTCCAATTGAAAATGGTGTCCAGAATAAAAGATATTCCATAGAAATCAGAAATACCTAAAAGTACTCCAAAAGGAGTGGGAATGGAAGTACACAACGCAGTGTCAGGTCTGCTATCTGTAAGATTTTTGACTTGGATGACAGGTTAATTCCAGGTCCTATACAAAATATCCAAAGTTTATGGGAAAATAATAATTCTGGTTCTCACTTGATAGGAGAGTTCTTAAATGGTAGTTGTAATTTCCATGTTGGCAGGGGAGGCTTCACATTCTTGTCTGTATTTTTTTCATTCCTTTGTTATTTACAGTTAATTATTATAAAACAAAGCGAACAAAGCTCCTTACAGTTGGCAGGTGACAAAATACAAAGCTGGAAAGATAGTCATGTATATCAGTGCAGAATTATGCTTGATTTTCTCTCCAAATGAGAATGACAAGTATTGAAGTTGAAGATCACAGGCAGAAATGCCTGGCTAGGGGATGCTAACAGAAATCATAGTTTAATATAAAATATTATAAAGGCTAAATACTCACAAAAAATTATTGTAAAAAAAATAGCATAAGACAGTCACTAGGCGAGAGGAGGCTGGTTAATGAGGTAGATGAGACACCAAACAATTTTACTGTAAATAGGAAGGCACTTTTACTGTCCATGTGTATTTATCACAAATTTGCCAGCTTCGCATCCAGGGAGCCCAGATGTGAGCTCTGAATGTTAAAGAGCAGTGATGCAAGCCAGCCAGTGCATGTTGGTAAATACAAAATATCTTGTTTCCCAGAAGCAAAAAGCTTTTTGTTTTGTCAGTTGCAAATAGCCTTTACAGAACAGGGGACACAGTGAAGCTGCTCACAAGAACTGCAACCTGAAAGCCAACTCAGATGCTGGTCATCCCCAGCACGCAGGGACTGCTTTCTCTCTTGGACAGCAAAAACTAAGAAAGAACATTTACATTTTCACTGTCCTTTGTTGTTGAATATAAAACAGATCGGGCATAGATCTGAGTCTACGTAAGCTTCCATAACATTCTGCCATAAAGGATTTTAAAAGTATTATCTGTGAAACTCTCACTGGATTGTTTCACTGGATGCCCCTATGTTCTTGTGCTGCGAGAGAGAGACACCAGTCCTCTCTGTGCCAGTCATACTGCTCTGTCATGTCCTCCTTCAACTGTCTTTTTCTGATTGAAAAGCAGATCTTTTAGTTGTTGCTTGTTTGGAAGCCACAAAAGGACCTTGCTGCTTTCTCTGTACATTTCCCAGCTCTCCCATATTGTTCATGGGGTGGTAGGTCAGAACAGTGTATGTGACGGAAGATATGGGGAAATCATGGATTTACAGAGTGCCTCCAGGTGTTCTCTGTTCCTTATCTGTTTAATTCGTAGGCATGCCGAACTCTATTCTCAGATCACCCATGAGCACTAATCTGCAACTTTCATTGAACTTTTTATCATTACCAAATTTGACTCCTCAGAAGTACTAATCACCTCCTAGTCCATCTTGCACATGTAATGCTAGATCTTTTTTCCAAAATAACTCACCTCATATTTATCTAGACTGAATTTCATCTTCTACGTTATCGTCTAGTCATCTAGTATCACTGCTCTGTCATCACTGAGAAATCCCTTTGAGAGGGAGTTTTTCAGTTGCTTCAGTGTATAGAAACAGGTCTGCTGATTTCTGGTAGCTCTTTCTAAAGATGTTTGTGGCATAAGAAAGCCATTTCCTTTTTATCCTATAACTTTTTGCTCTTAAAGATAAGTACTGTGAAATCAGCTGTATGATGCTGTTTGACAAAGCTTAATTACCTCCAAACTGAGGAAACAATTTTAAAAAAATGCAATTTTCCTTGATCCAGTCTAGACTTCATTTTAAGTGTCATCTTTAAAAAATAGTGTTTCCACTCTGTACTGTAGTATGCTGTTCTAGCATATTGAGCTATATCTAGCATATTGAACATATTGAGAGACTAAAGAACAACATTGTTCAGCTGGGATGATAATGCTAGTGTAGTACCAATAATGAATTTGATAATATCAATTCAAAAACAAATGGGATAAAATGTATTGTTCTAACAAAGGACAATATTGTGCTCTCAAAATCATTGGTGAGCCTTAATTTGTATCAGCATTGTTTCACTGTGTATTCCAATATGTGCTTCGTAAATATTAATATATACTTTGATATTCTGTGATTCTGAGTCAGCTGTAAATGTTGCTGTTACTATTGTATTGATAAAATAGTTTCATTTCTTCTGAATAGCTAACTTGCTTACAGAAGTCTTAAGTTAAACGTCTGAATCTAGATCAAAGACTTATATACTTATATACTTATTCAAATCTCCAGTTGCCCAGATCTGATTTTATAGTGTAGCAGCATTCAGGTCCATGGGTGAAAGACAATGCAATGATTTGGATAGGAATGGGATATAACTGCACTTTAAGTAAAACAAACCACCAATATTTATGCTATTTCTAATTTAAGCATTCCCTTAAGCATTCTAAGTTAAGCATTCAGTTCATTTTAAAACAAGTTATAAAACTATCCCCCCCTCTTGCCACAATATATGCCAGTATTAGCTTGTGGTGGTGGTTGGTTTTTTTAATCCTGTTTTGAGGAAGTCCATTAGGTATCCCGAGATAGATAAAGTGTATTGGTCTTTTTAAAATAAAAAAGACTGTTTATGCCATTTACTTTTATCTCAAGAGGAAAACTCCCCAAGCATGA